AAAAAAAAAGAAATACCCGTATCTATTCATATAATAGCGGTATTGTATCCACATACAATGTGTCTCTGTCTCTGTATGTACGATACCGCTATTTATACCGAGAAATAGCGGGACCGATTCTTTTGGATTTGAATTTCGATTCGAAACATACACACACACACACATTGTATGTGGATTTATTTGAAAAATTAAATTCACCAATTGATGATGATGGTTGGTTGGTTGGTGATCACACACACACATCACATCAACCGTTTTTTTCATTTATTTATTTGATTTTACCGACGACAAAATACACCAAACAAACAAACAAACAATATTATCTACATACATCTTTTACATCCAATTTTTTTTGTTGAAAATGTTATTTTGGCAAATTTTTTCTCGTGTTTTTCATTCGAAATTTCTTCAATTCCTTTCTATTCTGAACAGGTTTTCCTTAAGTAATATTTCAAAGAAAACATCTTTTCTCGGTGCTGAAATTTGTTTTTTTAAATGTTTGATGATTTCTGTCAAAAAATCTTCAGGTTTGAAAAGTGATTTTGTTTCACATTGATTGATCAATGTATTATTGATTATATGTTTTGTGTCAATGATAAACACATCTATATCATCTGTTGAATGTACTCCTTCATTTGATCCACAAAAACATCGAATCAATTCAAAAATTATTTCATCGAATCGATCCAGGAACAAAGGTAGATTTTTTCAAATTTTCTGTCTATTTTCATGATGATTCTGTTGACCGAAAAAAGAGATTCTTTTTCGAAGAAAAATTCCTTTTTTTTTCATCGAAAGTGTTTATTCTGCCTGAACTATAGAGTGAATATATTTTGTGTTTTGCACTTTACTTGTTTTTTTCGAAAAAAATTTTTTTCCTTGTCATTTTTTTCTTCTCATGAATTCTTGTGACTGAAATTTTTTCCATTTAATTTTATTTTCCTTCAAGAGTTAACACACACACTTACGCATCACTTTATTTTTTGTTCAAGCACACATTATCCATTGAACAAATTTTTCGTTCTCTTTTGAAAAAACAAACTGGGCAAAAAAATTCTGATAATGATGCTTGTGCAAGTCACTAAGCTTTTTTTATAACAACAACAACATCGACAATCGATTGAATTCTTCTTCTTCTTCTTACTGCATTTCGATCACACAAATTCAATATGTTTAATGGAGCAGAATTTTGTTGTTTTTCTTTTCACCAGTTTTGATAAATAAAATAAAACAGAAACCCTGTCAACCATTCCATTCCACCATATCAATCACACATTGAATGAATGAAAAGAAAAATTGTTATTTGAATTGCTTTTCTATCCGAATAACGAGAAAGAAAGAAAACAAGTGAATCACTTGAATTTATCCTATAGATAAGCAAACATTCTTCTTTTCGCATACATCATTCATTCCATTCATTGAATTTCAATTTTTTAATTCTTTCAATTATGATCGATGAATAAGACAGATTTCTTTGAAGAACATAAAACTGGTAAAAAATAACCCAAGAAACATTGAATATTTTCACACATTATCAGTTTTTCCACTTCTTCTTCTTCTTCTTCTTCCCATTTATTGATCGGTTAATAATTTCAGTTTCAAAATTCATTCGTTCATTCAATCAATCAAAAAATTATTATGAACTGAGCAAACTGAATAGGAAAAAAAAGTGTCACATTCATGAATGAAATAATAAACCTTCATCAACGAAAAAAAATTCATATCTATTTTTGTTGGTTACATTCTTTTTTCTCTTATTTTTTGGCTAAAAATATACAATTTTCATTCCTGAATGCAAGCTAAATTTAACCAACCAACCAACCGACTAAACATCAAAGATTCATTTGCTGGATTTATTTAGAGAGAGAGAGAGAGAGAGAGAGAGAGAGAGAGAGAGATCATCATTATTATTTGAAAAAAAAGGAAACATTTGAATATGAAAAAAANCCAACCGACTAAACATCAAAGATTCATTTGCTGGATTTATTTAGAGAGAGAGAGAGAGAGAGAGAGAGAGAGAGAGAGAGAGATCATCATTATTATTTGAAAAAAAAGGAAACATTTGAATATGAAAAAAATGAAACAACAAAAACGATGTGATTATTATGATGATTATTATTATCAATAATCATAATCAAAAAAAAAGAAAAATGACTTTCATATTAAAATTCTGTACAACATGAAAATTTTTTTAATGGATTCTGTTTGTTTTGTTTGAATTTCAAATGATGATGATGATTGCTTGTACACAGAGAGATTTGTTTTTTATTTACGATTTTGTAAGAATTCTCTCTTTTTTTCAGCTTTCATAATCGCTTTCAAGAAGAATTCATGATTGTTCTTGAATTCTCGTATTCTTGTATTCTTGCGCTTGTTTAGTGATGTGAAAAAATACA